CTTTACAGGCTTCAGGCAAATCCAAAGTTATTGTTCTCACACGCGGGCGCCGTGGTTCGCACCGTTGTCTCTGAAGAGTTAAAGGAAAACTGTCATGTTTGCACCGTTCACTTTTTAACCAAATCTCAACATTATTCAAACAACTGGCAAAGTCGTGTTTCATGTCTTTTCAGCCACTTTTCGCTCAATGGGGACTTCTGTTCTTTCCCAGTTTCTGCAGCAGCATTAACCTTTCAAAGAGGAATCAGAAGTTACATTTATAATCAATAAAATACACACTTGCACGTTTTAGTACAGCCAATCAGGAGTGTGACTTGTTGCATGGTGAGTTAATAGTATGACACCAGCGCTTGTGGTTGGAGTGGCTTGTATTACTTACCTCTGAACACTCTGAACACACGATTACCAAAGCAGCTCCACATTGTCAGCATTGCTCAAGATCCCAACACTGTTCAGCTTTATTGACGTCAGATCTAAGACCCAGGTGGACCACGCATGGCTCAGATTAGTGATACAATTTGCTGACTTTGTGTCTTTGTCTTCAGCGCTGTCGTTTAAACGTACGCTACCATGTACATTTCTTTGAATGTATTGGATTTAATTGTACTCAGTCTTGTAAAATACCTCGTACTCTTTTTTTTCTGATTAAAAACATTACTCTGGTAGCTGTAGTTTGTAGATATTTCCCTTTTACAAACCCAAACCTCTGAGTGACTTAAAAAATATGATTTGGCACTGCGTGTGCACACAGGTGTTTTGACTTACGCGCCTTGATTAGAAAGGTTGGAGGTTGGAGGTCGTTCAGATTGGAGTTGTGCAAATCCACATATGCTGGGAATTTACTTTGAGCCAATATGTTCTAATAATAATGATAAATATGTATCTTGTCCAGACAGTAAGTCATTTATATTCTTCCAGTACTTGTTGCTTGTTACACTTTTCATTTGTATTGCTTGTTGACATTTCTACACTGTGTACAATTCACAAAACATCCGAGTCCTCTTTCCACCAAATTACATCTTAGCACATCACAGATAAACATTTCAGTGAAATGCATACATAATGTCTCCTCTGATTACCTGTTTGTTGATTACTGTTTATGATCCTTCACACTCTCATGTTGTTTAATGACGATGTCACTAAATAATGAGGTCTGCAAATGTCAGGTTTTAGTGTCCTTTGTTAAAGGTTTAAGTTCAGGGTTTTACATGGATTCAGTTTGGCTTCAAAATGACAAATATTTTATAAAATGACAGTTTATTGTTAAATGATTAACTTAACGTTCATTTTGAAGTCTTCAGGTCTTTTGAAGCATGTTGCTTTATCATCTAGTCTACTCTAAATTAAATCACAATGCAACAAACAAACCTATAAAGAGTGCTTGAAAGTAGCCACAGAAGCCCTGAACACATTTGAAAATAAATGAGGTGATAAATTGTGAAGGAATGGGCGTCATTTTCATAAAGACTTTCATGCATGACTTCTGTTTGCAATAAGAGAAATCCCCCACTTGGTAGTTTGTGCAAGTTTACAGCACCTCCGCATTGCCCACACTTTTTCTGACTCAACAAATGAATATCCACACTTTCTCTTTCCAGCTCAGACCTTCTGTGGCTCTGTAGTTGCTTAATGCTGCATGTTGTCCAAGCCAACATGCAAGTCACTATTTATCAGAGCATGTTACTTCTGCAATACACTAAAATGTGATACATTTCATAGAGTTAAATGTAGCCATTTCAAATTTTTACATATTGCATGTGTAAGTCTGTACAGACTCTCTGTTGAAGGTCAGCATGGAGGTGCTTTGACTTTCTGAGCGCATGATGTCAATCGTTTGGGAGGATGTGAGCAGATGCGGCTAAGAGGTGGCAGAGTGGCAGAGAGTAGGGTTATCACAGTGATGAGTGTTTAATCCAGACACTGTCTGGATGGGAAGAGAAAAAGTCCAAGGAACAGACAGAGAGAAAGAGAGAGGAAGACATTATCTCAGCTGTTGAGAGGTGGCGATGAAGGGGGTGAAGGGGGAGGAGGAGCTGTTTGACCTCAAGAAGGACGCCATCGTAATACTGCCCCATTAACACGTGTTACATCCACCAGGTCATTGTGTCCCATCTAGGGTCAGGGCTAGTGTTTTGGTAACGTTAGCGTCCACCCTTTTTATAGAACGCTTGTCACTACACCCAAACAGGGAAGCTGTAATGCCAAAAGGAATGCATGCGATTTCAGCTTTTTTACTTATTTATGACTTAAAGAAAACTAATCTTAGTAAGGTCTCCAGTGATCTGGTGGATGTTAAGAGGTTAAAAGAGTTGAGCAGTGGCTACGAGCCAACTTTATTAAACGATCTATAGCCTCAGCCAGTGTAAAGAACTTCAGCTGGCTTTGTGTTATATTAAAGTTTGGTCTGTAATCTTACAGAAGAATTCTTTGCAGTCTGGTTGTGCGCCATGGCTTGATTGAGATGGGCAAGCAGGGCTTTACAGAGGTATGTGTGGTCTGGGAACTCATAACCCAAGACTCATAAAAGCAGCTCGGGGAACCTGAAGGAAATACACGTCTACTTGTACAGAATAATAGTCTAAAAGTTAATTCTGTTGGAATTTGCCTTTATTAAGGGACATTTTGGTATTCAAACTCTGACCAGTGCCCATTTACTGAATTCTTTCTTACATAGTAAAATCAGCCATGTCTCCTAAAAAGACATGGCTATACGACTATATAACTATATGCAGTGCTCTTTTTTTCCTCTCGTTTTCTCCCTTCAGAAATACCTTACAGTGAGACCAACAGGTGGTTAAAGAATTAGTCACAGCCCATTATTTCAACTTTTTGGCTTCTAAGCTTTCTTTTTGTAATCTCAGATTTAAACTCCTTTTTACTAACTTTTGGAAATGACCAAAAGTTACAATAAATGCTTTCAAACATTAACTATATTAAACCTTGAAAACCTCAGTTTTCAAGGTCATTTTTTGCCCCAAAAGTGGCAAGAAAATAAATGACATTTAACAAATGTGCATGTGTTTCTTTCAAAATGTGATTGAGAATCCAGCACAGGTCTGTGGAAAGATACCTGATAAAACAGGGTGTTCACTTCAAAATCTAGATATGATACCACATTTGAAAGTGTATGCCAGCTTTTGAGCCTTTTCAGTTAATACATATACTGCTATATATACTGATGCTGTGAAGCCCCACAGAACACATCACAATCCAATGTTTCCTGAGAACTGAGAGATCAATACTCAGCTCTTCTTTGGATTTCGCCTGCTAAAGAACACAGTTTGGCATCCCTCCATGTCGTAGCAAAGCCTTTTGATGCATTAATAACAGTTTTTTTAAGGATCAGTTTTTAGACCTGTGTGTCTGAAGCTTTAGCAGTGACTGACAGCAACCTCCAGAAACTACTCACAACCAGTTGGAGAATACTCACTTTTCCCTAGTGAAGGTGGTTGCCAACTGGTCTGTAGCCTTGTGTGACCAGTTGCCAACTGGTCTGTAGCTGATTAGCACCTCCTGAATCTTCCTCTGCAGATATTTACTCACAGATATGAGGCTGGAAATCAATTTCCAGCAAGATGCAAAAATTAGCATAAAAAGCAAACAAAAAGTACATATGGAATACAACTTTTATTTTAATATTTTTATACACCAGTTTATTCACTGACTTCACTGTATGAAAATGATATTCATAAGTGTCTTGAAATTAGAGATAAAATATGAACTCAGGAAAAAGTGTTAGTATCATTATCATTGTTTATAACCCATATGGAAAAGATGTATATAAATCTTATAAAGTTTTTATCTGTCTTGTATGAAACTTGTATGAAAAGCATACAAGAGTGAAAACACATATAAGATCCCTTGAAAAATTATATAAATGAAACTTGTATGTTTTGGATACTTACTAAAAAAATATATGAAAGTAATGAGAAAGTGGCCACTTACATGAGTAAATCATATATGTTTTTACTATTTCTTTTCCATATGGGAAAACATTATTCTTCATTTATTATTTTCTTTTTATTATTTTCTTCTGTCTTTGTTTTGGCAAAATCTTGTTGTAAAATTGCCATTTTGCTGTATTTCACAAAAGCAGGTGTAATAGTTAAACTTCAGCCTTCACATTTTCTCTAAATAATTTACCAAAATAAAATTAATCATTATTAGATACCGATTTCTAACCTGTGTTTGGTTTATTTCCCCTTTTTTGGGAAAATGAAAACAACTAAGGATCACATGCGTTTGTTTTAGAAAAACAAAACATTTTAGACTCAACATGTACATGCATATGACGTCTTGGGACACTGAGGGGTGCAGACAGTACACAGCTTGGGTAGTTATGAGAAAGCCTATTTCTGTAAGGTGAAGCTATGACTTGAGATACGAGGCTGAGGTGGAAGTGGTAGGGTCAGGGCATCCAGACTGTGTGTGTGTGTGTGTGTGTGTGTGTGTGTGTGTGTGTGTGTGTGTGTGTGCAGTATATCTCCCTGACCTGTCTGGCCTGGAGGTGGTGTGTTTGTGTGATAAGCCACTTTCCCTCCTCTCAGTGTCCTCACAGTTGGATGTTCATCCAAAACATTCCCACAAAGGCACGGGAGCTTTTTGCAGCTCTGCTTCCCAACTGTAAGAATGATTAATGATGAGCATGGCTCAAGAAAGTCTGCAAGTTAGTTCAGGCTGGATACTCGAGTTGCTGCTTGCATCATACGGCTGACTCTCCTTACTCTTCTTACTTCACAAGCATCCTCCTGTAGGCTCCAAGTAAATGTTTGTTCAAGACTCACAAATTTCTTTGTGTATCATATTTGCACTGAATGATGATCTTGGAGGGGGGAAGGAGCCAGTTTAGCAAGCAACCCATATAGCATAAAGTTTAATGCAGAGCCCTGTTCAAATCCACCTTGAGGCCATTTACTGTGTCTCCTTCGTCAATGTGCATTTGTAAAATGAAATATTGCTTTTTTAGCCCACTAAAGAAGCCTTGTTGTTTTTTCCACTAGGTACCTCGCCAAGCTGTCATCAGTGGGGAGCATCAGGGACGAGGAGACGTGTGAGAGGTTACGAGGCCTGATCCAGAGACAGGTACTCCACTCAACTTACTGACTTTGTAGTAATAAGTTACTAAGTCAGTTATGAAGTTACAAATGCACTTGTTTTTCACTATAAAAAGTTATATTCAGTCAAGGTGAGCTGTCCATCAGTGTCCATCAGTCACCCGAAACTCCAATATCAGTATGGATATACATAAAGAGCAATACTATCCATACAGGACAAACATATTTATTGCACCAGCCTACAAGCATGGCTTCCTAAGGCTGTAAAGTTGGTCATTTTAACATGGAAGTCTCTGGGGGATTGAATCATTTTTGGACCCAGCCTGAAATGTTCATGGAAGGACCTGCAAAGGAATTTCAACTTGCATCACTGAGGGTTGCAGATGATTTTAACAAGCATGTAAGTCCTTAATCATGAAAAAGAATTTATAAACTACTGCTATCAATCATTTTTAAGGTTTGATGGTGTAGACTAGTAAAACCAAGCTCTCTCAAGTTCTACATTCAAAGAATTTGAACATAAAAAGAAATGTGTACATAAAGCGGTTTTAAGGATTGTTAGCTCGTTGGTTTTCTGATGTCAGTTGGTAGCGGAAACAAAACCAGCCTGCTTCCTCTTGAGAGGACAACACTTCATAGATGAGTCCTTGGAAGATTCAGAAACTGGGGCCTGACTTGTACACCATATACACCATATAGCCCAACATCAAGCCCAACAAGCTAAGGCTACTATGTTACTCGATATGGTAGCATCTACAGAATACATCAAAGGCTTCTAGGCTACATTATGACATTGTTTGCTACATTTATGGCATTTGGTTTACTGCTTTGTCAGGAATTTGAAACAGATATGTAGCGATATTATTTGTTCCAGCCACTTGTAGCTGTTGTTTTGCCCTCCTCTGTTCCATATCCAGTTAAGCTTTGCTGATTTCTATGCATTGCCTCCCATGAAAAAAAAAAGGTTTCTCGTGGTAAGCCATCTTGATTGTTTACATTTGGTATTGTGAGTCTTGGACACTCCAAGCTTGGAAATTGAGTTGAACGCACAGCCGTGCACACTGAGCGGTTACCTGTGGCCTGTCCTGCCTCACTAACAACATATAGGCTCCATTTCCAAAATTAAATCCAAGAGGTCATCCAAAACAAAACTGAACACATTTACAAAACTACATATAGAAGTTTACATATGTTAAAGAAAACCATATGGGTAACAATATGGACAACATTTTGCCATGATCGTTGGAACTCATAGGCTCATGGAAATTAGAGGTAGTAAAGTTAGCATGTTGATATGTCTCACTAACTACTGGTTGCATTGCCACTGATTTTTACACTGACATTCCTGACTCCTATTGACTCAGGTGATCCCCAGACATTTCCTGTAGTGCCACCAGTAATCCCAAACGTTCCATTATCCAGCGAAATATCTCCACATCTACTGGATATATTGGGACATAATTTTCTACAGACATTCCCGGGTCCCAGACATGACTTTGTTGATCCCCTGACTTTTCCTCTGGCGCCACCTCAAAGTTGACATTTGCGGTTTTGGGTGAGATTTTCTTGACAAGTTTCGGATTGGTTACAATGACATTTGCCCTTCAGGAAAATTTACAGTGGAATTTAATTCTGATGATCCTCTTACTTGTCATGAGGCCTCTCCATCAGGTCAAATTTAATTTGTCTTGTATTTTGGTTTCTGACAGAATACAGGTATTACATAACTACTAGCACACAGACAACCCAAATTATTAGAGCACATGCAGCATAGGCGTTATAATGTATTATGCTAATACTGAGAGTTTGAGCATATAAGCATCATGAAGTGCCGAAACAGGTAGTAACAATAGACCGTATTTAAAAGATGAAAGTGATGATGTTGCCTATTGTTTTTTGAGGATCTGAAGCACTCATATTTTTGCCCATGTTGGTTTTGGACTCAGAAATGACTATATAAACAGATGAGAGGGTGGGGAGCTAATTCATTAGCTAGAGGAGCAAGTCTGGGTTGAATACTACATCCATGAAGTGCTCAAATGGACCTGCTTATCAGTGTAAGTGACAAACTTATTAAATGCTGATGGGGAAGCTTCTTGGATAGGTGGAAAAACACAACAAACTGTATTATTTCCCAGATAATCCCATTACAAATGCTCTAAAAGACCCAAGAGCACCAACAAAATCGACAAGTTCAACCCAGTGACTCGTTTTAGCTAACAAGAGCCCTAAAAGACAAATATCCCCTCCGGCCCCTCCATGCCACTAATTTTAAGCTTAGATCAGAGCAGTAAAAACTTTTTAGCTGCATGCTCTTCGTTTGTGGGTGACGCAGCTCCTGTGTGTCCACTACAGGTTCAGATCTGTAAGCGGAGCGTGGAGGTGATGGATGCGGTACGTCGTGGAGCCCAGCTGGCTATAGATGAGTGTCAGTTTCAGTTTCGCAACCGTCGATGGAACTGCTCCACACTGGAGTCGATGCCTGTGTTTGGGAAAGTGGTCACGCAAGGTAAGATTATCCACTGCAGCGATTCCAGAAGACACTTTAATGGCAGACAGCACGAAAGCTGGTCTATAATGCTAAAACAGGTTTATCTGTTCTGCATTTACAAAAGTGCAACATAAATAACTCATCATGTTTTATATACTGTGAAATGTTTGAGCTTGTTTCCATTTATATTGGCTCCAGCGTGTTAATGTCTGGGCCCAATTCTTTAGATTTTAACACACTTTTGTGTGTATACACACACACATACACTTTATCTGATCATTCAGAAGTACGAGCTCTTTTCATTTGCATAATGACACAATGTGACTGTGTGCTTGTGTTTATGCTTGTGTGTTAGGCACCCGTGAAGCAGCCTTTGTGTATGCCATCTCAGCAGCCAGTGTGGCGTTTGCGGTCACGAGGGCCTGCAGCAGCGGGGAGCTGGAAAAATGTGGTTGTGACCACAATGTACATGGAGTCAGTCCAGAGGGTAGGTCTCTCTCACTCTTTCACACAAACACACACTCAGAAAAGGAAACACAAGGGCCAACTGATCCTGTACAGTTTAATGCAGAAATAAGACTATATAATATGAAAATTGTTTTCCAAGCAGACATAACTGTCAGACTGTTAATGATGACATTTTAAAGCCACCCCACACACATTTCCACATTAAATTATAAGTTTATAAAGAATAAAACCTGACTGAAAAATAGCTTGTGGTATAGTATCAGTGCAACATTTAAAAGCCGATGACTGTTTCTTGTCTCTGTGTTAATATCCTTTATTAGGGTTCCAGTGGTCAGGCTGCAGCGATAACATTGCATATGGAGTGGCCTTCTCTCAGTCCTTTGTCGATGTGAGGGAGAGGAGTAAAGGCCAGTCCTCCAGTCGGGCTCTCATGAACCTGCACAACAACGAGGCCGGCAGAAAGGTAATCCACTGCTGTTGATAAAGGGATGATCTGATATCCTCGTGTTGGTGTTGTTCCCAGATCATCATGAAAATGTTGTTCCAGGTTCAACATTGCAAGTGACCAATCACATTATTGTGACGTTATTCTTTTGCGCACCAACCCATTCGTGCATTTATGAAATTCCAATGTTGCAAGGACAATGTCAATTCTGCTTAGCGTTTATTAAAGGGTTAGGGTCCATTGATCGGCGGACAAAGGCGGTTTCTCGCAGCTTAAGTACAGTTTTTTGTTTTACGCCGGTTTTTCCCAAAGTCGCAAAAGTATGGCATCACAACATTCTGATTGGTCACTTGCAATGTTGATCCTGGAACAACCTTTAGTATGATGATCTGGGAACAACACCAACACGAGGATATCAGATCGTGCATTGATAAAGAGCCGTGGCTTATGTTCAAATTATTTGAAACAATCAAGTCGTTCAAGATAACAAAAAAAAAGCTTGAAACCTTGAATTTATTTACAGAAGATCCAAGGTCAACTCTCAAGTAGATGAGAAGCCTCAAGTCATAAGAGTTATAAGACACTTCCCAAGTCAAGTCTCCAGCCATTCAAAGGATCAAGATATTTTAAAAAGTAGTTTTTACCTTTTGTAGGGGTTTGATGTCCATTACAGTCAAATCTTAAGTCATTTGAGACAAGTCCATCTAGGTCAGGTTTTAACTTCTTGAGAATAAGGTTAAATTGAGTGTTAAGTCACCAGTGAAAGGTCCAAGGTGTAACTGGACACACATGTAAGACAAGTCACAAGTCTTTTTTAGTTGAAAGGTTTTAAGTCCTTCAGTTAAAAAAAAACTAGTCAGGATTATATTCGTTAAAAACAGGCTTAAGCCAAGTTGTGATCAAGTCACACCATATGTGACAAGTCAATGTCAATTCTCAAGTCAGCCTAGAAAGTCAAACCCAGAGTTCTCAAATCATGTCACAAGTTCTTTAAGTTTAATGTTGTTGTTGATGTTAGTAGTCTAGTCCAGCCATTCGAGAAAAGTCCAAGTGAGCATAACCAAATAGAAAGTTGAGCCCCAAATTATAAGAGATAAACCCTTGAATCAAGTCTCTAGTAATTAGATTTGCCCTTTTATAGTGTGGCACTGCATTAATGTACAGTCAAGTTTCTTTGAAAAGAAACATCAAGTCTGGTCTTCAGTCATTTAACATCAGTCCAAATTAAATATAAAGTTACTGAAGAGAGATCTAAAAAAAATGTGAGAAAACTAAAAGACAACAAATTATTTGAGACAAATGCAAAGTCAGGTATCAAGTCATTTAATAGAAATACGAGTCAAAGCTCCATTTTTGTTTTAGGTGTTACTGAGAGCAAATCCAGCGTTATAGAAACAGATGTTGGCATCCAGATGTGCTGCTTTTAAAGCTGTTTCAGCAAACCAAATGTTCTTTGGAATCCTTGCAGGCCATCCTGTCTCACATGCGTGTGGAGTGCAAATGCCACGGCGTCTCAGGCTCCTGTGAGGTGAAGACCTGCTGGAAAGCCATGCCACCATTTCGCAAGGTGGGCAACATCATCAAGGAGAAGTTTGACGGCGCTACCGAGGTGGAGCAGCGGAAGGTGGGCACAACCAAAGTCCTTGTTCCTCGCAATTCCCAGTTCAAACCTCACACGGATGAAGACCTGGTCTACCTGGAACCGAGTCCAGATTTCTGCGATTACGATCCACGCACGCCAGGGATGCTGGGCACGGTGGGTCGCCAGTGTAACCGAACATCCAAGGCCATCGACGGCTGTGAGCTGATGTGCTGCGGCCGTGGCTTCCAGACACAGGAGGTGGAGGTGGTGGACAGGTGCAGCTGTAAGTTCCACTGGTGCTGTTACGTCAAATGCAAACAGTGCCGTAAAATGGTGGAGATTCACACGTGCCGGTGATGGAGGCGGAGGCACAGAGGGAACTGCTGATAGACAAAAAATGCCCCGTACTCCTGATCGGCTAAAGAAAAGAGGGAGTAGGGAGGACTTGTTTAGTTCCTTCGTCTCCTTTAACCATCCCAGCCTCCTACTGCTATTCAACAGACACAGACTGATTGCCCGAGAGGTCAAAGGTCATCCGATCCTTTATTTTTTTTTGCCACCTTAGTGGACAACAGTAGATTAGGCATGGGATTTCCTATAAAGCTACAGTCTGTTTGTTTCTTCTCAAGTAGAGAGCATCTTTCAGTTCCTGATTCGCTCCCTCACAGTCATATTTAGTTTGTCATTGATCCTTATTTTTGTAATGTTTAACTTATTTGTTGAGAGTTTTTGCTGAGGGGGTTGACAGGGGCAGTTATAGAAGGACTACAGACAAACCGACGAGTGGAGTTTATCATGGACAAACTAGACAAACGGCTAGGCAGTTTGGGGGTTTGGGGGTTGTGTTAAGGAGGAGGGTTGTTGGCCGTCAGCCCTTGTTGCTGCTGCTGCTTCAGGGACTCACTTGGAGACAAAAATGGAGACTGCGAGTCTGTCACAGGACAGGCGAAAACAACAAAGAGGAACACTTTGTGATTTGCTTTCTGAGTATACACGGCTGCGCTGAGGCTCATTTGCCTCTGAGTCGCTTATTTTGCCCTCCGCAACACCCTGATGCTGCTCTACTCACTCATCCACTGTCTTCCTACCGACGAGAGGACGATGACGGACGGACGAAAGCCACTGTCAGCTGTGTCCTGTTTTTTTTCAGTAGGCAGGTGATGGGCGTCGGTCAAACAAAACACTCACACCTGCATTCACCCACAGCTGCTAGCCACAAACACACACCAGACAGCTTCCACGGAAAACACTTTCTACGTCAGCTTCGGCGCATGTCCTCAGCATCACCCTGTGTGCTCGTTTGGGAATCGACGCGGGTTCTGACCTTCTGCTGTACGCTGTCATCTGCCAAATGCTAGTCAGCTTAATGCAAACAACACACAGTCAAGTTAACACACAGCGACATGCACGCATCTCCAAACAGACATAATGTAAATACACATTCAGACATACAAAGAAAGGGGTCTGCCAGAGGGTTGCCGAGCATGTTCATCACACATGATGACTGAAGCACTTTCTCTCCAAGCGCACATAGAGCCCTCGCCCTACAGCAACAAACACAAAATCACACGACCAAGTGTTCCCTGTTCCTTTCCTAACACGCACGCACACACACACTACACACACAGTTTCTCATGCCACTTTCAGGACTCTACTGTCATCTTGTACCACCATCATAAAGCCAAGCTTTCCTATAATAACTTGCTATCATCATAGAGACATACTGTAGATCTGTAAAGACTTATACACTGAAGACTATACTGCCTATGAATGTATGTTAATAATGAATATATGCTGTGTCAAAAAAAAGGCTTTTGTCGCTTTTTGTTATAAAACACGTGTGTGTGTGTGTGTGTGTGTGTGTGTGTGTGTGTGTGTGTGTGTGTGTAGGAGAGAGACAGGCAGATATATTAGACAAGAAGATGGAAAGTAAAAGAGTGCAGAGTCTCCACCACCAACTCCAAACACACACACACACAGAGCTCTGCTGACAGACATACACATATTTCAATAAAATCACCCATTTCCCGTGTCTTTCAGCTGCATTATTATGTGGCCACAGTTTGCACTGTGCAGTATTTTGTGTGTGTGCGTGCGTGTGTGTATGAGTGTGTGAGCAGTACACCCCGAGATGTTTTCCTGCACCCCTGACACCTATAAACACAGTTTATGCACCATATATCAGCGCTTATGCTACACCAACCAAGGATGTATTTCCTGCAGCGTGGGGAAGGCAGTTTTAGGAAGAACCGGAGCGACTGCTCAGATTTCAAAGCCCGTCTGATTGGGTTTGGGCTGAAGAAGGAGCACAAGCAGGAACACCAGGCTAGAACAGGGATTATAGTGAAATGCAGACCACATGGCATATGCTTTTTTTTCCTCCTTCTATCTCTATCAGTATCATGCTACCCCCCTGCACCCTTCCAGCTCTGGCTTGCTTGCTCGTTCGTCTCCAGTATCGTTGACTTAACACTGGACCCAGTCAGCGCTCCACTCTGCGGAAAACGTAACTGTAACCACTCTCAGATCTGTCCTTCATTAAGCCACTGTGATGGGCCACATGAGGTGGGTGGTGGTGGCCACGCTGATTGCGAAAGTCTGCAACCAAATTTGTGTGTGTGTGTGCACGCACGCTGAGATAGTGACATGTATTGTACAGCGAGCCAGCCAGAGAAGGCTAATGCTTCTTGTGGTCTTCTGTGGTTGTGGCAGAGACAAGAGGCTGACAGTGGGGGTTTTACCACTTAATCTGTGTACACTAGAGAGTCTGTCAGAATCAAAATGCAACAAATCTGGATTTATGAGCACTGAAACATAAATGTTTAAGCTAATCATAGCTGACATATTAGACTAATACCTAGCATACCATCCACACAAACGTTTAACAGGCCATAACCAACCTCCCCAAACAAAAAGAGGCACTCACTATCGAATACACACACCTTTCATAGACCTGCAACGAGGTGATAGACGTGCATTCGTCCACTGAATGACCGAACCCCTCATCATGTCTCTCCGGACCTTCAGCTTATCGGTTCCCCTTGCACTTGCGCTAGTTTGTGTGCCAGAGGAGGAAAATAGTGGTGCATCCTGCAGCTTGGATATTGACATTACAATTTTTTTTTTTATTGCACAAAAGGACAACAGTTCAATGGTAAAGTGCAAACTGCGTCCACAACAGAATCAACCGCATTATGCTGCTGACACATCTTCGGTGCCTGCTAACGCTAAGCTAGCCAAGAACCCAGAGTGATGTTAAAGCCGTTGTGTTCTGTGTAGTATGTGTAATACATTACTTTTTTTGAGTAATGGCCCCAACACTGATCACAAGGAGAAATACCTCTAACACGCTAAATCTGAATCAATAAGTTCTTATCAATTCCCGTCCCTAGTGAGTCGGCCATAAACTGTATGGGCGGAATGAACAGTGACACCTATCAGCTAAGCATCAGACTACTAAAATACCAGAATTTTACTCACCAAAAGTGAAGTGCAGCTCTCTTGAACAAGCCTTGTACCACTTGTACCACACAGCATTTCACCACAAAGTGAAGAAATCCAGTTCGCTGTGCCAAATCAATGGAGGCCTAACTACAGCTCCACACCTCTCAGTCAAAGTGGTCATGTACCCAGTTATATTAAAAAGTAATTTTCCTGTACCCGCCATGTTTTTTTCTGAAATGTACCATCAGATTTTGATCTATGTGGAGAGAGTCTGAGTGGTGAAAGCCTAATTTTTCAACATGACATTCAGGCGCAGCCCCAGTATTCTGATTTTGGACACATTAGAGTCATTTGAGCTTGGCCTTGTAATTACATGTTAATGTTTTTATCACTACTGCTTCTAGTAGATGCAGGCACGTGTAAAACTTAAAAAAAAACAATATCAAACTATCATTGTTATTTTTGCAGTGGATTATGAGGACAATGTGGGCTATCCGCTCACTTAAATACCAAAATCCAAACTGTAATTAAATGATCCATCTTACACATGAATCAAAGAGAGTGAGAGTAAGAAAGAGACATGAGCCACATCGACATATTATCAAATCAACCAAGCCTCCTGCTTATTAATTTATAAAGATTGCTGTGAAATTGTAGCTTCATATGTCAGATACTTTTCAAGATATATATTTTCTTGGAAAATAATCTGTCTACCTATCTTCTTTCACACATTGATAAAGGTAATTTTGTTTAATATGTGAATTCAGTAAAAGCATACCTGGATAGAAAAACACAGAGAGCACTATGAGTCATGGACTGGCCTCCCCAGAGCACAGACCTGAACATTACTGAAGCAGTGTGCCATCATCAGCAGAGCAAAGAAGAGCGTTGAAAGTCCTTCAAAAAGCCTGGAGAACTATTCCTGAAAGCTACTTAAAGAAATCACAAGAAAGCTTGCCTAAGAGAGTTCAGGCTGCGTTGAAGAATAAAGATGATCACACCAAAAATTGACTTTCAAGCTTGTTACAGTTGTACAAACTTTTTTCACATATACTGTATTTCCACGTTTCAATAAATCGCTGCACTCATTTCCCATTTTTCATGCAAAACATGAAGAAGTAAGGGTTGGTGCAAGACTTTTGCACCCTACTATAGATACCAAAATGACCATTACTACTGGTATAAAGTTGTGATTCCCTAAACAATATTCTCAGGTGTAGTGTTTTGGGGGGTTGATTCTTTTCATTTACTGCAAAAGTGAAGTTTTGTGATTTCAAATGCATTATTAAGAACGACTTTTGTCAAAAAAAAGTCAAAAACATTACAGAATATCAGGTAAGGATTTGTTCTGAGGCTGCTCTGTGGGATCAAATCAGCTGGATAGTGAACAAAGTTTCCTCACTTATGGAACCAAGCCTGGGAATTCTGAATTAGCTCTGGCTCTCTGCAGACACGGTGTTAGCATGATTAAAAGGCATCTTTGGGGAGCTCTATCAAATTAAATTTGGAATATATTCATGTATTCATCCCAATGCATTTCCTTTCCAACACTTCATCCCTCAGACAGCTCCATTTACCACTCAGCTACCTACGCACGTTAAAGGTTAAAGCCCGTTAAAAGTTTGCCGTCTTTCTCCATCAGTCTGTGTTGCGAGCGTGCAAAGGGTTAACTCTGCAGGTTGGCTGGATATTAATGCCAGTCGCTCAGAGAACCCAGGAGAAGGCTGGCTTTAGCCCAGGGCCCAGCCCTCCCAGGCCTCTCTCAAACTCCCAGATCTCTTCAGCATACTTCTCATATTAAAAGAAAACAAGTTACACAAATGAGACAGATGGTTCTTGTTTATGATGACAGTTGCAGTTCTTTCTCCTCCTGCTCTCCTCCCCTCATCTTCCCTCTCGGCTTTCCTCTTAGTGTCTCCAGTGTTTTTTTGCTGTGAAACGGTCGCGTTGTGCAACACAAGAAGAGCGTTTGTTAAAACCATGCTGGTGGCCACTGAGACACCAGCGTCAGTGTTTTACATCTGACACTTCACATTAAAAATGTGTGTGCTGTATTCTACCTGCTTGGGAGTCCCGAACAGATCAAGTCAATCGAATGATAGAAAATCCTGGATCTCCCGTAATGTTTTCCATGAAATATGCTCTCAGCATCTCACTGGGGATTTTATAATGAAAGTCCTGGAAACCACATAAACCACTAAGACCTATAACTTCTAGTCTGTGGTATGACAGCCCAGTCTCATGTTAGTTCATGAAATATGACATTTATATCATTTAATGCACAGCTCCACGTTGGGGGGGAAAAACAAACACAGCATATCAGCACACAGACCTGCACGGTGGGGGAGGGGTCATAACTTCGGCTTGTTTTGCAACCACAGGATCTGGGCACCTTGCAGTCACTGAGTCAACCACGAGCTCCTCGATAGGCCATGTGTCTGACAGCTGAAGGTTTGCTTAAATTGGATCATGGAACAGGACGATAATCCCAAACAAATCAGCAATCAGACGTTTTCTAGTGAAACCAGGCTGAATTTAAAGGCCTCAAAAGACAGATGGAGAGGGGTGTAGACTGAAACAAATGCTTTTGTTTTATTACTTATCCATGACTACACAGACCAGTACCACATACTTAATGTGTGTCGCATCCTCTCAGAGCTTAGAAGTGAGGGTGTATTCAACATGAGGTGCCAGGAAAACTAGATTGTAATAATAATAATAATAAAACAGGGATAAACAATTTAAATAAAATTCTGTGACTGAATATTTTGTTGTAAATACTTTTTTGAAGCTTGATTAGCGATCCAGGTTACACATCTAGTTTTTAATAGTGCAATTCAACATAAAAACGTAATGCAGGGTAAGTAAAAACCAAGTGCGACCAAGGGTTTTGGACTTGCGCTGAGGCATTTATAGTGAAATTTAACACGGCCTATTTCTCACATGCAAAAATTATTTAGATCGTAGTAAAATTCCAAACAGCGAGTTAACATCTTTCAGATTGCAATTCATCCCAGAGCGGACGGATCAGATAAGGAAACATCAGAGAGAGGAGGAGTGAAACAGCTTCTCCCCCACAGAGATGGTGGATCAGACTGTTGATGGGGGCTTTAGCTGCCACAGCTTCATCTCTGGATGCTGGTATGGAGGATCACTGAGTCTGCTCCTGCACACATACTTTCTATGTGTAGTTATAGCCACATGTCTGTCATCAGCTCAACTGCAAAGAACTTTCCCTTAACACCTGGACACTGAATACACATATTCCCAAAACCAAAGCTGCCTGTGTATGCGGGCGAAAGAGGTTAGAGTGTGT